TATCTATAAACATAAGCATCTATAAACAAATTCTTATTATAATTCTTATTATATTATAACATTTTTTTTAAATTCATCATTATTATCATCAACGCTGCTAAGTCCATGATTCTTTTGATGTTGATAAGCAAAAAAATAAAGAAAAACAAAAATAAAGAAATTAAAATCCTAATGTCCCGAGAAGAATACATTTTTTTAAAACAATTTCATCTGAACACATTTCTAGATATGCGGCCCTTGGTGATCAGGGCTAAGAACTGAATTGACTTACAGTAAGTTGGGTTTTGGTCAGTACAGATATTTGTTCCTTTTCTATGGTTGTGCTGTTGGCTTGTGTGTATGAGGGTAATTTCAATTTTGTGTTCTTACTCTTCAAAAGAAGGTGCCACCTTGTTTTAACTAGACAGCCTCATTCTCTTCAGCCTGAAAAAGACTGAGACAAAAACTCTAGAACTCTAGATCAAACACTCAGTGGCATTCGCATAAAAAAAAATTTAACTTCAAAGCTTGATACACAGCAGGGTCAGTGTCAAAAGGACTTTATGTGTAGAATATGAAATAGATTGAGCATTGTCTGTCTAATGATTTTGCTTTGTTCACTTAGAGTGTGGAGATAGTGTCACACACTGCTAAACAATTTACTAGCCTTGCAATCAAGGTTTCTTTCACTTCAATGGACCTTTATACTGTAAAATCATGTCCTAAAATGAGGTTTTGCACTGAATTGCTGCTCTCTTCATTATAATTAACAGTTTTGAAGCAATAATACACTCAGGTAATCTGTTTGATGGACATGTTTATCCGTGCAGATGGATGTGAAAAGCAAAATGGCTCCACAGGCACTCATAACAAGCACAATCATTTCTTTAAGGAAATTATGTATAAAGATGATTTGAAATGTGAATTACACTTACTATTGGAAAACATTTAATATAAGGCATTATACAACTCTTTAAATGAAACTATAGTATATTTGAAGTAAAATCTTTTTTAAAGCATATACATTTTGATTTTGTTTGTTTTTATGATTCATAAAGGAAAAAAATCTTTGTTTCACCATTAAACATGTTATACAGGGTGTACCCATGGCACAAGACTCAGACCATTGTGGATTTTCTGAAGTGAGAGCACAGCAGAAGCTGATTATTTTTGGATTATCTTTGTCTAAATTAAATTAAATTCTGTAGAGTCAATTTAGCAGACAGAGGAGAATAGAGGGTGAACAGCCACTCCTTAGACTTATGCACCTAAAACACACTAACCTGAGGACTTAACATGAGAATATTACATTAATATGAAACATTTCACTTTTACATGAATGTTTTTAAGTTTTATTTTGTAGTCTTGGTTGTAGAAAAAAAAAGGAAGCAAGTATTTGCAAAATCACTACACATTTTATTTAAAATCTTACACTAGGAGGATCTAAATCCAAGAACAAAGTATAGCTAAATCCATAAACAAAAATTTAATATAATACAGATTACCAGTCTTTAGATGTGATGGCTAAAATAATTTTTGTCCGTATTTTTTCCTTTATTTTTTGTCTGACAACCCTACAAAAAACACACTGGGGGGTTATTTACTAAAGCTGGAGAGTGCAAAATTTGGTGGAACTGTGCATAGAAAGCAAACAGCTTCCAGGTTTATTGCCATACTTTTTTTTATTTTTTTTTTTTTCAAAATTAATTGAACAAGCTGAAGTTAGAAACTGGCTACCATACACAGTGCTCCAGTTTTAGTAACACCCCCCCCCCCCTTGAGTGACAACGACCACTCCACTCATCATACTGCAGTGTGAGGGAGCCTTTGAAGACTACAAAACATTTCTTCCTCTGATCATCATCACAACACAGGAGTAGGTTTTCTGTAGTTCACAAAGAGAACTGGAAGGTATCAGCTCACAAGTTTTACAGCAGGATCAACAGGTAACTTTGTATGCACTCTTTTAGGCACATATCAAACAGATATAACAAAACACTTCCAATGGCATATTTAACTAAAAAGCAGCAAATAAGAAAAGTTTATTGTTAAGGTTTAAAGGTTTACATACCCTTTAACGAATATGTAAATCCAACATTTCATATGCCTGATACAGTTTGTGCCTGCTGTACCATGTACTTGTATGTAAAAATATCCTTTTTACTTTGTATTGCTTCCTTGTGTGAAATCCCTGGTGTTCCTGCCAGCCCATCTCCTCCAATGATCCAACTCGCCCTGCCATCCCTCCTCCCCCTACACATCCCTTCACTGGGAAGATATGTTTGCTGCTGTTCCCCCCCCCCCCCCCGCTCCCCCAGCTCTTATATAGCTGAGAGCAGAGGGAATGTGATCACTTATTAAAAAAAAGGAGAATATATACATATTTTTTTAATATTTATACACAAATGTTTTGCTTTTCATTTACATTTTTAATTGATTGAGTTGTTTTACAAAGTGAGGGTTTACATGTACTTTCAGCTATACCTATAAAAATTCATGCTCAGATCAGCCCACTTCAGACCCACCTCAGACTATCTAGTTTTACAATTTCTTCTTGTAAATATGCTATTTGGATTCTTTGCATCAGCCTTTCCATATATAAACTTTATTTGCTTTGTGGATAAATAGAGGACCCTTGAGGTTAATTAGAGAGAGTTCTAATACATCAAAATGTTCCTAGTTTATCACATTTTCAAAAATAAAGGGAGAAAATCACAGCCGCTGATGACTCACTCTCCCAGTGGAACTGCACGCTTGCACTGCTTTAACAATACATGTTTATGTCATTCATAAATATTAAAGCCATGCTGGATAATTCCACTTGTGACAGAGACCGATAATTACAGGGTCATAATTGAGTTTCTTCAGCTGCCTGTGAGTCAGAATTTTGTATGATTGCTACTCTGATCCATGAGATATACAGGGTCTGTGAGATATCAATCAACAATGTGAAAAAGACTGCATTCAACAAGCTTGAAAGACTCTGGAAAAAATGACTAAGCAGGTTTTGTTCCTTTTACTTCAGGTGTTGTAGAAACTCACATGTGCATCTATGGAACTTTCTCTTTTTGCTAACAAACTGTGATGGGTGATTTACTGACAAGTATTATGTTCTGACATATTTTCTTTACTGATAAATAGCTTGTACTAATTGTTCACACTTACTGAGGTTTACTTTTACTGACCAGAAGCAAGTTTTAATGTTTGATATGTATGGACAGGTCATATTTAAATATTATGCTGCCTGAATGCTGACACCCTGTACAAGCGTCATCCCTTGTGTCTTATAATTTTTTGTATAAACTAATAGTACAATGCATTGTTGGTGACAGCATGGTTCTACTTTATATCCCAAGCTACACAATAACTGTGCATACCAACAAAGAAAAAAGAGATGGATTATATTTTTGAACTATAAAGAGCCTTTTGAGTCTTCTTAACATCCCAGAACCTCCTTGTAGATTTCTTGCTGAATTTAGACATTTGAAAAGCTGGATAGAAAAGTAAACAAAGAAAAAAAGATATTACAATTGTCTATGTTAAGGCTTGGTGCTCTCTGACCTCGCTGTCCAATTTTGCACTGACCAACAAGTGCCCTGGTTGTATGTAGAAATGGATTTTTACACAGCCAGCATAGACCTAGGGCAAGAGAATTGCTTGGGGTCACACACATCCATCTACACACTTTGTTTACAACTATCAGTAACTTTTTTTTTGTATAAAAGACTTCCAGATTGACATTTTGCTACCACTGCCATCTAGCAAGGATCTCATTGCCGCAGTTTGTGCATTTTGTTAGTGGAATTTTGTATTGTGTACTAATAGTTTATATATTTTTTCATCAGACCAAAAGAGCAACAACTAAAAAGGAAGAGAGACTTGGTTATGAAAATAGTGACTGCCCTTCCATATGACAATTGGGAGTTATGCAATATCCACAAGGAAAATAATTTTCTGGATTATATAGGCATTACATATGAGTAACCCTAGCAAATTTGGTAAGTGTAGAATGCCGAGTGTAAAGCTGAAACCTCTCAACTGGAAATTACAATATTTTTTTTTTTTTTTTTAAACTAAATCTGTTTATTGAAGTTTTTACATTCAAAGTTAGGTACAACCAACACAACACAGCTTACAGTGAACATTGGTGTGAAGCACACAGGGGGAGCAGCGCAGTTGCTTGTAAAGTACACATAAGAGGAATGTGCAGTGGCACACCCAAAGTGCAACAATGCACTTCACAATAATATTCTGACACTGGTGAACAATTAAAGACAATAATAAGGCAGGGGGACATAATAGCAGGGAAGTCCTGGATCAAATAAGAAAAACATAAGGAATTGATAGGGATAAACACATTATAAGATCAGCTCTGTGGCAATGGAAGGGGTAGCTAACCACTTGGACCACACCACGTTGTATTTCTTAGGGCAGCCTCTGTTTATATGTGTCTTTATATAGAGGTAAGCTGTTATTTACTAATTGTTTCCAAAAGAGATGGAATGAAGGGATGAAGGGAAGGCTTGTTTTCATTTTAGTGTGATAGCCTTACTAGAAAAAAAGAGGAGAAAGCTAACAAGCGTGCACTCAGCCACTATAGGATGCGTACCCTCTACTAGACCTAATAAGCAATTTCCAATAGAGAGTTGTAGAGGGATCGATGTCACACTGATGATCAGACTCAGGAACTCAGCCCAGAACCAGGTGATAGCGGGACACACATAAAAGATGTGTGAAAGTTCCAAAAGCAGAACAGTCATATTTACAGCCATATTTCCAGCACTCCGGAGAATGTGAGGACCTCATCTTATGAAGTCAATAGGGAGTGTGATAAGCCATATGAACCATTTTGAATTGTATGAGCTTATCCCATAGGGAAACTAACATCCGGAAGGGGAGATCCTATACATCATCCAAATCATCATTGTCTAGGTCTGGTAAATTTTGTCACCAATGGGCCCTGGGTCCCTCCCAATCAGGCATGGATACAGAGAGAATATGGGAGTATAGATGAGACGTAGACAGGGGCGGACTGACAACTCATGGGGCCCCCGGGCAATAGGAGATCGATGGGGCGCCTGAGTCCTTGGCCACACTCAAAGCACACCCAAAAAAAGCCTATAAAAGGTACCAGGAGAATTTATATAGGGCCCCTACTGACCCCGGGCCCTTGGCCAGTGCCCGAGTGCTCGAATGGTCTGTCCGCCCCTGGGCGTAGGCTTTGTAGCACAGTCCGTTCAGAGGAAAGTCTTTAGATCCGATTGGACAGCATTCAGGGAACAGTGTTGAAACTTGCTATGGAAAACATCTGAGAGCTGCATAAAGCAAAACACATAATTTGTGGGAACATTATAGGTAGTTAGGAGTTGGGATAGTGAAAATAAAGATTGACCTGTTATGACTTGTGATAAGATTAGGTTCTGGTAGCATATATAAATGGGTCAAGGTGGGGTTCAACCACAGGGGAGCATTAGGGGGACCAGCCAATTTGGGATCATTTTCACACTTAATTCCAACCTTCCAGGTCTGCAGCGAGACTAGCATAGGGAGAGTGAGGGGATAAAGGGCTTGAGGGCCTTTGAAAAGGAGACATTTTAGGGCTTCCATAGTGGACCACCGCAGCTTCTAAAAGGAGTAATGTTGGAGTTTAACCACCAGGCAGCTGTAATCTATTGTGTGGTCAGAAAATATTTATAGCAATCAGGAAAGGCTAGGACAGGGCTACCATTAGGCGGGGACGGCCCATACACATGTAGGGGGCTTGGGTGTCCAAAGGGGTCCAGGCCCCAACCAGGGTTGTCTTTAATGCTGGGAAAAAAGGACAGATGCCATGGGGCTGAGAGCAGCTGCTGCTTGAGCCCACACCAATGGTGAACTACCACCATGGCCAGATTAACTGGGTTAGATTTACTAGTCTCCCAATTTAGTCCCACTTATTCTAGAGAGAGGGAGGACAGGCTTTTTGGGGTCCTATCCTAGATCTGTGTACACTGACTGCAACATCACCCCCTCTACAGCAATGTAGGGGAGGGAACCAACATTTTATTTTTTTCCACAAGTTTTTGGAAAATGTGGAAAGAAAATGAAAATGTATTTTTTAACACAAAGCTTTCAATCTATAAGATATTGCTAAAAAACAGCATGGACATACCAAGAATTACACTCCAAAATATATTCTACTACTCCTCCTGATTATGGGGATACCACATGTGCAAGCCTTTTCAATGTCTGTACAGATTATGTGCCCAGCATTGCAACAAGTGTAACACAAAAATCAACAAACACTGTATAGAAAGCAATGTAAGCAAAAGATTACCTGTGGTACGAGGAGAGCATTGGACCAGGTCGGTACAGGCAGCAGGTAACATCCAGGCAGCAGGCAGGAACAAAGTCCATAAAAAGTCCTGGGTCAGTACAGGCAGCAGGCAAATATATGGTCAGCACAGCCAAAGTATGGTTAAGGCAGCAGGCAGGAACATGGTCCATAAAATGTCCTGGGTCATTACAGGGAGCAGGCAGAGATATGGTCAGTACAGCCAAAGTATTTGTCCAGGCAGCAGGCAGGAATAATGGTCCATAAAATGTCCTGGGTCATTACAGGCAGTAGGCAGAGATATGGTCAGCACAGCCAAGGTATTTGTCCAGGCAGCAGGCAGGAATATGGTACATAAAATGTCCTAGGTTATTACAGGCAGCAGGCAGATATATGGTCAGCACAGCCAATATTTTTGTCTAGGCAGCAAGGAGGAACATGGCCCATAAAAGGTCCTGGGTCAGTACAGGCAGTAGGTGGAGATATGGTCAGCACAGTGAAAGCATTGGTCCAGGCAGCAGGCAGGAACATCAGGCTTAGGGCCTCAGTCAGGTAGGACCAGGGCACAGGGGCACATCCCACCCAATCTCTTTGAAGCCTCCGGACAAACAGACCCTATTCTGGGAATTACAAAACCCCCCAAAAAAACAAAAACTGTTTTTCTCCACTCTGAAGCCCCTCCCGTATGTGAGACCACTGTGTTATCTTGAATCCTACTACTACAGTAACTGGGCAAAATATCAATCCAAGCGGCAGGCAAAAACCATGGTCAATTAACAGTCTGAGGTCAGTCCAGGAAGAAGGCATAAATGTGCTTGATAATCCAGACAACAGGCAGAAGCATAGTCAATAAATAGGCCAGGGTCAGTTCAGGTGGAAGGCAGAAACTTGGTGGATAAACATTGCAAACAGCAGATAAAGGCATAGTTGATAAACAGGCCGTGGTCAGTTAAGGTAGAAGGCAGTGGCATGGTTGGTTAAGGCAGCAGGCAAATGATTAGCAGAGATATTGAAACCGGGAAATGGCAGGCAGTTTGAAATATGGCCTAATATTTTTTAGTAATGTGTGAAAACGTTGGAAACAGTCTCCGATGCACAGGCCTGGTTGAGAGGGACACCAGGACAGTGAAAACTTGTGTCTCTTCTAACTCCTCCTCTGCTGCATACCTGACATCTTTTTTGGCGTCTTCGACCTGCTTCTGTTGGTGGAATGCTCTCAGGGAAGTGGCGCTCATGAAGTCTGCTCACAGAATCGGAACAAATGCTTTCTGGAGGGATCCTTGCTGATAGATAAGGGATGTGACAACTTCTTCTATAAATTTGAGGAAGGCAGTGGGTCTTTCTGTGGATTTGGTGTAGGTGACATACACATTATATATATCCAAATGAATAAAATAGATTGCAACATTTTTATACCAGAAATGAGACCTTCTTGTTGATAAATAGGGCTGCAGCATTTGATTGTTGAAATCCCCCCTCCATGTAGAGATTATATCTTTGATGGCCGCAGGCTTTTGAATTGGACCGTAATTGGTGGACATAAATGTCTCTCTTATCCTTCCGCTTCAGGGCCAGTACTTCATCATTTCTTAGGCTTGCTGATTTCCCCGTTTGTAGCTTGGTATTCACTAGAGATTTTGGATTGCCCTTCCTGTCTTTTCAGGAGGTACCGCAGGCCAAGGTTTTCTCATGGTACAGGTGTCAGACTGGTGTATAAATTATCCATGTAAATGTGATAGCCTTTTTGGAAAAGTGGACAAGCCAGGTCCCAGGCAATTTTCCCACTTGTTCCAATGTAGGTTGGGTACTCAGGGGGGGCTGGAGCTGGGAATCTTTGCCTTCATATACGCGGAATGCATATAAATGCATATAAAATATAAATATGCATATAAATATCCCGTGGCTCTTTCACAAAGCTTGTAGAGATTTACTCCATATCTCCATGTCCTCTTACTTGGAATATATTGCTTAATTACTAGTCACCCTGTGAAGTGGACAAGGGCTTCGTCTACACATACGTTTTTATCGGGGGGCAAGAAGTTCATCAAATCTTTGGGAAAAAAAAATTAAGAAGTGGGTGAACTTTGTATAATTTGTCATAGTTGGCATGATCTCTGGGAGGGCACTGGGCATTGTTACTGAATTGTCACTGAAATGAAGGAAACGCATGATCATCTCATAGTTTGATCTGGGCATCACAGCAGAATAAATTGGTATGTGGTGGATTGGGTATGTGGACCAGTGTGCAGGTCCTTTATTTTTTTTTGTAAGCCCCATGTTAAGGGTGAGGCCCAAAAATAACTTAAATTCCTGTGGTGTAAGAGGTCTTAATTCAAATGGACAGGCATAACATTAGAAATGAATTGTTGGGCAAAAAGGTTTGTCTGGTCCACAATAAACTGTAGCAAAGTGTCGGGCAAAAATAAATAAAAAAACTCAATTGCTGAAAAATTCTCAGTGTTGGCCTGCACACCTGGCTGTGCGATGATAGGGGGAATGCTTACTGATCCGGAGTTGGAGGGCAGCCATAATTGGTTGGCAAGAGCATCTGGGAGATATGTTTGGGCCCTGAGTCTTGGGGGTTGATGGAATATTCCAGTGCTGGGTACTTGGTTTTTCCTCTATAGGTTCTAGTGCCATTGGTTTTACCAACCCCAACCTCACATGTGAACAGGCCCTAAGGGTGCCACCACCAAAATGACACTGCTTCTCTGAAAAGCTATCTGTGAGTATTTGACAGGTGGTATGGAAACAATATTTTGCCTCCTCACCGCCTGATTTAAATCTATAATTGTTGTGCAATGCATGCAATTGTGGTAGTACAGAAATTATACATTTAAATCGGGCGGTGAGGAGGTGACATCACTTCCTTATCACCTGTCAAACACCTATGAAAATCACTCCTAACATGGATCACTTTTCAGAGGAGTGGCAGTATTTAAAAAAAATGCATTGTATGTCAGGAGCAGACAGAGTATGCTGTTTAAAGGTAGCTGGGCTCAGGGGGCATGCTAGGGTCTATACTGGGTCATATATGCTAACAGCCACTGTATGAACTCTGTGTTACTTACTCCTCACATGTGAACTATGCATAAGTCACTCCTAACCCCTAAAGTCGCTTTGCTTAATCCTGATCTGTGAAGTCTCTTACTACTGACCTGTAAACTCTGCATTAATTACTCCTGACTCTGTGTTACTACTGACCTACGAGCCTTGCAATACTTATCCCTGACCTATGAACTCTGTGTTACTCCTGAAAACTACACTTAGCATTTTTTGAAAATCTGAATTATAATCTGAGTTACTTACTCCTCAACCCTTTACTATACTAACAAAAATGTATAATGCTCTGACAGGCCAAACCCAGCCAACCTAGCCAAGTAGAACCAAATCCAAAACTCAGCCAAGGCAGAGACCAGAATTTCCAAAATTCAGCCCAGCCAAGCAGGCCGAAACTCAAACCAGTCAGCCAGGCCAGAGCTCAGATCAGTCATCCAGGCCAGAGCTCAGATCAGTCAGCCAGGCCAGAGCTCAGACCAGTCAGCCAGGCCAGAGCTCAGACCAGTCAGCCAGGCCAGAACTCAGACCAGTCAGCCAGGCCAGAACTCAGACCAACCAGCCAGCCAGGCCTCAGACCAGCCAGATAGCCAGGCCACAACTCTGACCAGCCAGGCCAGAACTCAAACCAGCCTGCCAGGTCAGAACTCAGACCAGCCTGCCAGGCCAGAACTCAGACAAGCCAGCCAGGCAGGACAGAACTCAGACCAGCCAGCCAGCCAGCCAGCCAGGCCAAAAACTCAGACCAGCCAGGCCAGAACTCAGACCAGCCAGGCTAGAGCTCAGACAAGCCAGCCAGCCAGGCCAGAACTCAGACAATCCAGCCAGCCAGGCTGGAAC